TTCCACAAAACTGGATGCTTCATGAGATTATAAGTAATATGAACATGAAATTATTATTACTTATAATCCAAACAATAAGACCTTAAATATACATATCAACAAACCAACGTAAAAAGTATAAAGATGCCACAATAGTAAGAGTATAAGAAGCAACGTATGACACTACTGCTGTGGCAAAAGAAGGCATTTGTTGTCTGGATTGGCCTTCTGATGATGGGCAACGCCATCTAACAAGATTGTTGATGACTGTTTAAGTCTTGTAAAACAAGTTTTGTAAAGAATCTGGTTGTAATTTTACTGTTCATTGTTATAGCCTTGAAAGAGCTCCAGTACTGGTTGCCCGGCATAAATTGAATATGGAATAAAATATGAAAATGCAGAGCAGTTCATAACACAAAAGCAATGTGGAACTTTTTATGGTAAACTTATAGAGAAGTATTGTCCTAAAATGCAGCTATACTTCAAAGACTCCAGTGGCCACAGAAACAACTGCTGCATTCAATGAAACCGCAGGGGTGCCTGTTACCATTTCCTTAGAAATGGAACTTGAAACAGGACCCAATTTGTTGTACAGATTAGCCAACATGTTGACTTGGTGAATAAGTCTAATGATGTATTTCAATATAGGAGTACTGAAAAGCAGTTTTACCAAGCTTCAACATAATTGCAACCTCTTTTATTTGGGCTATAATCAACCTATTCAAACACTTTGCAAAATATTCTTGCTGTTCAGCACTTAAAAGTTGTGATCATTTGAACCAATTCATCTCTCCTGAATTCATGGAGTATTTTTTTTTTGCGTTAAGTCTTTAAAACGATTCCCATACCAAAATCTTATCAACATACAAGAAATTTAGAAAGATGAGTTGCTAAAATATCCAGCATATTACCTGCTTATTTTTAGTATACAGAACTAAAATCCCAGGAACAATGAACACTCTGGACCTAATGTGTTTTATTCCTTCAGTCATTTCAAACAGAAAGTAAGTAAGTTAATTGCCTGCTCGCTTTATGTTTTAAGTATCCCACATCTGTATCAGTATACATCAGGTTTGGACAAACCCTTATTTTTTTAACCAAGTCTACAGTGGTTATTTCATTTCTATAAATCTCCTTTTGTGCATCCATGGATAACCTCCATTTTGAAAATCTACCTTGTACAAAAGCATATGTTTTCAATGTCTCCCTATAAATGAGTTCTACAATCAGTTTTACTGTTTGTACTTTGGAGTGCAAAGGAAGAGCCTAAAAAAGAATGGGAGGGCTTATTAAGACTTTTTAGTAAAACGTTGCCTTTGTCTTTTGCAGAACATATAGAATAAGCTGCTTTAATATTGTAGCTAAAAAATTCTTAATCATAAAATTTCCAAAATTCTTTCTAAAGATTTTATTATTTTTTAAGACTTATTTTTATTTATGCATATAAGAACTGGGGTATAGGTCAGAGGTGGGGGGGTGAGAGGATTCACCAGAGACAGAGTGGGGAGCAGAATAGGCGTATCTACTGAAATAACACTGCTGAGGGGAAAAGCAGGTGAGACAGGAGAGGTTTGTGCCATGTGGGTTGGGGATCGAACTCCAGCTGCAGTGGCTGCCGATAGCTTGATAGTGCTGACTTCAACCCCTGCGCCACCAGGGAGACTCCTAAAGACTTTTTATTTTTCTTTTGCGTAGAAGAGCTGGGGTGCAGGCCAGAGATGCAGGGGGTGAGAGGATTCACAAATGACAGAGTGGGGAGCAGAACAGGCAGATTTCTGCTGTGCCATATGTAGGTTAGCTCCCTGGCCAGGGATCGAACTCAGGCCATCGAGTTGGGCCCTCAAGATAGTGATAGTGCTGAAACTTAACCCCTAGTCCACCAGGGTGGCCCAAATTTCTGAAATTCTTATAACTTTTTAAATAATTACTGAAGTTGGTTACCAACTTATTTTAGTTTGAAGTGTGATTTATATTCCTTTTCTTTCCACCATCTTTCAAAAAAAAAAAAAGCAGGTTTCTGCACTCCTTTATTTTTAATATGCCTTTATATGCACTTCTAATATTTTATATTCCTTTTAAGCTATGTGATTTGCAAAGGGAAAAAGTTTGTGAAAAGAAACACCCACACAGTCACAGGCGGAATCGTGATTTTTAAAAAAAATATGTCTTCTACCATCTTAGAAATCCTAACCATCTTAAAAATCCTGACTCCTCAATGCCTGAAAAATCAAGTTCATTCTAATTTGCAAGTTATGAAAGGCTCTTTGTGACCTGTTCTTTATTTTCCTTTCAGAAGCATTTTCTGTTATTCCCCAAAGTGCTATCATCTCAGCCAGACTTACAATGCAGTTCCCCAAACTTACCAGGCCTTTCACGAAATTCTGTTCTCTACAGTTGGAATTATTTCCCTTCTATCCAGCCTTCAGTATACAGATCAAAGACTCAGAGTCTTCATTAACACCACCCCATTCACTGCTCTTCTCCCTTTTCAGACTTCGTTTTTTCAATTGCCTATAAAGCACCCTACATGAATATCCTATAGCCTTTTCAGATTCACTGTCCCAAACTGAAAATATCATCTCCCCACAAACCATTTCATTTGTTTCCTACCTCAGTAAACAGCAATACTCGTATCTAAATTGAGTATCTGGCTCATACTTCTTAATATCCACCATATCCTCCTAATTATTTTTTCTTAACGAGAAATGGAGAGAAGGAATAAGAGGTGTCTATACCTGATTTCTCCCCATACATGCCACCAAATTTTGGATGTGGACCAGAGGTGCAGGGGTGAAAGAATTCACCAGAGACAGGGCAGAGAACAGAAAAGGCAGCTTTACTGAAATACACTGCTAAGAGAAGCAGCAGGCCAGACAGAAGAGGTCTGCTGCACCTCCTCTGCTAATCCTATCCAAGAATTTCTCTCACATTCATCTAGACCTCTACCCCCACTGCCTCTACCCAGTTAGAACACCATTATGTCTAACATAGATTATATTTTTAAGACTCATTTATTTTTAAAGATTTATTTATTTATACATATAAGAACGGGGGTACAGGCCAGAGGTGCAGGGGGTGAAAGGATTCACCGGGGACAGAATAGGGAACAGAACAGGCAGACTGACTGAAATACACTGTTGAAGGGAGAAGGGGGCGAGACAGAAGAGGTCTGTGGCGCCATGTGGGTAGCTCCCTGGCCGGGGATCAAACTCATGCTGCAGTGGCTGCAGATAGCTCCATTGACAGGGTTGCGTCTTAACCCCTGTGCCACCAGGGAGGCCCTTGAAGTATATTTTCTAATGTATTCAATATAATAAACTAAACACAATAAATAGTACAAGTATTCATATACAGGGATGTGCTGAACTTTCTATTGAATGAAGGAGACAAAAAAATAACTTGGAAAGCACAAATTCTAGTGCATTTAATTTTGACCTTTGTGTACTGGGGTAAAGGAATAGGGGAAGTCACACATGCCTTTGAGAACCTGCTGAAAATTGAGGATTAACTCCCAGAAAAATTAACATAGACTGCTAGAAGGAAGAGGTCAGCAAAATGTCTTAAGTTCTATGGCACTATTATTCCTTCCTTTCCCCTCTTCTCCATAGTTGAATGGCCACATCTTTCTGCAGGGCAGGTTTGGAATTTCCAATTCCTTATGTCCTCTAGAATTAAGGAATACAGTCAAAGATTCCCTTTTTTAGGGCCTCGCTGGTGGCGCAAGGGGTTAAGCACCGCACTATGGGGCAATCTGCAGCCTCTGCAGCACGAGTTCGATCCCCCGCTGGCCAGGGAGAAACCCACATGGTGAGGCAGACCTCTCCTGTCTCACCCACTGCTCCCCTCAGCAGTGTATTTCAGTTAATCTGCCTGTTTTAGATCCTCTCACCCACAGGATCTCTGGCCTGTGCCCCAGCTCTTACATGCATAAATATATAAATCTTTAAAAAAAAAAAGACTCCCTTTTCTAGGTATAATATACTATTATCATAATCACTGCTATTTCATAAAACATTCAAACTAATGTTTTCTTAAATGTAGTGGCATCCTAAGTAATACTATCTGCAGAATCAGTTTTGGCGTCCTGGTTATTATTTTCCTACCTCACATCAAAATAAACGCACACTTCAAAAAAGGAATCTAGATCCTCATAGTCACCAAGTTGTAGAGCAAAGTCCTAAAGTTTCTACAATTACTGTGGGAACTCTGTTGGATAAGCAACAATTTAGGCAGCATGAGTCAAAAGGAGAGTTAAAAAGCATTTGGGGGGCCTTGCTGGTGGCGCAAGGAATTAAGTCTCAAGCACTATGAGGCTATCTGCAGCCACTGCAGCATGAGTTTGATCCCCAGCCAGGAAGCTAAACCACATGGTGCAGCAGACCTCGCCTATCTCACCCGCTGCTTCCCTCAGCAGTATAATTCAGTGGATCCGCCTGTTCTGCTCTCCACTCTGTCTCTGTGAATCCTCTCACCCCCTCTCCGACACCTCCGGCCTATACCCCAGCTTTTGTATGCATGAATAAATAAATTAAAAAAAAAATAAATAAAAAGCATTCGGTATAATTCTCTCATTTTATAGATTAAAAACCTGAAACCCAAAGAGTTTAAGTAATTTGTCCAAGATAATGAGTTTTTTTTTAAAGATTTATTTATTTGTGCGTAGAAGAAATGGGGTGTAGGCCAGAGGTGAGGGAGTGAGAGGATTCACTACAGACAAAGAGTGGGGAGCAGAACAGGTAGATTTACTGAAATACACTGCTGAGAGGAGCAGTCAGAGAGATGGGAGAGGTCTGCTGCGCCATGGGTAGAATAGCTCCCCGGTGGAATTGAAATCAGTCCTTAGCAGTGATAGAACTGAAACTCTAGGCCACCAGGGAAGTCCATGTCATGAGAAGTTTAAAGGAATGTCTAGGATTAATGTTCAGGTCTACAATCAAGTCTAGTATATTTTCCACTTTACCATGTCCATTCAGATTACACTAGGATAATACAGCATTAAGAATTCTTCAGTTGTTACCTACCTCACTCTTCCATTCAGATTTAACTGAACATGCTGCTTAAAATCTGGGTATTTGGATGCCAGATATGCGAAGTCAGGAGGTTTGTCCTTGTATCTATTTCTTGCATGCATTGATTTACTCAGAGCCATCTTTAAAAAGAAAAAAGGGGGAAATCAGAATATTAAATTTAAAAATCACAAATGGGGAAAAGTTGTGGTTGCTAAATCAAGTTACAACCAACACATCTTTGCCAATCAAGTGAGAGTATTATTTTTTAAATGTACACAATAAATAGCTAAGCTATGGAAACAACCCAAATGCCCAAAAATAGATGAATGGATCAAAAAGATGTGGTACATATACACAATGGAATATTACTCAGCAATCAAAAAAGATAAACATATGCAGTTTGCAGCAACGTGGATGGAGCTAGAAGGGATCATGCTCAACGAAATGAGTCAGAAATAAAAAGAAAAATACCGGATGGTCTCACTCATAGCAAGAATTTAGAAAACCTAAATAAGGGACCAGGAAAAAGACTAATTAGTACTAAGTAAAAATCAAAATCAATAAGCAACTATAAACCAGAGACACACTACGGGGCAGGGGCGGGGGGGATTGGAAGGATTAGGGTCAAAATAAGGGGGGGTGCAATTGTATGGGGAATATAACCAAAATGAAAATGCATACATTGTACAAAAATGAAAAATGCTGTAAGAATTATATAAAATAAAATATTTTAAAAAATAAATTTAAAAAATGTACACAATAAACATATGTAAGATGATCAACATCGTCAGTCATCAGAGAAATGAAATCAAAAATAAGATATCGGGCCTCCCCGGTGGCGCAGTGGTTGAGCGCTGGGTTGCGAAGCTGCCTGCGGCCTCTGCGGCGCCGGTTCGATCCCCGGCTGCTCCCCGGCCACCGGAGGAGGGTCCCACTTGGCGCGCAGACCTCTCCTGCCGCCCGCTGCTCCCCTCAGCAGTGCACTTCGGTCCTTCTGCCTGCTCTGCTCCCCGCTCTGGCTCTGGTGAATTCTCTCACCCTCCCGCGCTTCTGACTGTACCCAGTGCATGTATAAATAAAACAAACAAACAAATAAATAAATAAATAAAACATGCCTCTATTTTAAAAAATTAAAAAAAAAAATAAGATATCACTTAGTATCATAAGGTTATAGCTATCATTTAATATTTTTTAAAGCACAAGTGTTGACAACATTATGGGACACTGGAGTCATGTGCTGCAAGTGGGAATATAAAATGGCACAACTGCCATAGAAAACTGTCAGTTCTTTAAAAAGTTAAATATAAAATTATCATATGATCCAGTAATTCCACTCCAAGATATATACCCAAATGAACTGAAAGCAGGGATGCAAACAGATACTTGAATACCAACATTCAACAGCAGCATTATTCACAGTAGTTCAAAGGGGATAAGACCCAAAGTATCCATAAATACATGAATAAATATAATATGGTATCCACATAAAACAGAATATTATTTGGTTAAAAAAATAAAAACCTGACACATGCTAAACATAGATGAATATAAAAACATACAAAGGAACAAGTCACACTCCAAAGGTCAAACATTGTATTATTCTACTTGTATGAGGTACCAAGAATACACAAATTCATAGGACAGAGTAGAAGTTAGCAGGATTGGGGGTGAAAGGAACGGTGAGTTGTTGTTTAAAAGCATTTGCTTTCTGTTTAGGATGATAAACAGGTGTTTGAAAACAAACATAATTGCATCTTCTTTTGGATTACAAAGAAAAAAAGTCATTGTGATGGGTTAGTAAATCTCTAAATAGTTGATAATTAAAAACTATTTTAGTATTTATAGCTGCATGATAGGCGCCTTTTTTCTCTACGTCATTCTTCATTTTCCACTTTTTAAAAAATGAGCATTTATCTAAACAGTATTAAGCTAGAAACCTAGAAATCAACCAATAGTTCTCTCTCTCAACATATCCTAATAAATCACTATTCAGGAGGATTTACCCTCTAAATAGCACTCAAATTCATCTATTTTTTCCTATCTCCAGCAATATCAGCCCAGGACAAGTTACCTAGACTGCTACAACAGCCTCTTAATTGGTCACGGTAAATCCACTCTTACTTTCTTTCCACCTGGCAGCAGTCGTTTCTAAACACAAATCTCATTATGTTCTCATATGCCCACTTGCTCTAAACCTTCCTCTTAGGAGAAAATAAAAACCATTACTTCAGTGTACTTAAAAGGCCCAGCATGGTGTGGCCTATACCTAATTTTTTTTACAGCCTCAATTTAAGTCTCACCCTTTGCCTTTGCTCTTCTTTCTGTTACTCCACTGGCAATAGGATATTTACTTCTTTGTCTATAATGTTCCCTCCTCCTTGCCACCTGAGGAACTCCCACTCTTCCTTACTGTCACAGTTCAAGCACTGCTTCTTCAGGAAGATCCTTCCTTCCCCTAATCTCCCCGGTTAAGATATATCCCCTCCTAAAAAGTCTCCTAGATACCTCTCCTTTGCAGGTTTTGTATTATACATCCCAGCTTTATATAATAAATCTGCAAACACTCTTTCAAAGGTTTTCGTGACAGCTTTTTAAAACCAGTTTCTTTTCTTTTTTTAATTTAAGTACCACTGTTTTACATCCCTGGGTGTATTAGCCTTAGCACTTGCACCACAGTCCTTTGTGCTCTCTCCTCACCCCACCTCCCCCCTCTGGATGCCTCCTCTTAAGGATTTAACAACCATTTCAAAAAAAAGAATTGTCTTCAGACCAGACCATGGCTCAAAAATGTTTCATATACAGTATGTCCAAATCTCACACACGTCCAAAACTAAATCACTTCTATCCATCCCAAATTGATTCTATTCTAATCTTCCCTATTTTGCTGAACAAACGCCACCTCTCACTCAGTTGCACAAGCCTGAAATCTTTAGCATTTTCACCACACCACCCTCCCCCCATTTTAAACATACCATGTCCTCAATATTCTTTATCTCCTAATTATTTCTTGACCCTATCCATTTTTCACCCTTCATTAACACCTATGTTTCTAGCCCAAATCATCATTTTTCTTGGGTTACTCTAATAGCCCCTGTCTTATCTCTCTGTAACCACTTTAGCCCCTGCAATACACTTTTCACCTGACATGTCCAGCCCTAACATACATCTGAACATTCCTCTCTAAATCCCTTTAGTGGCTTCCTAAAGTCCAAAACCATTAAGAACACTAAATCTAGGCTTTACCTAAATCTATGTAAAGCCAAAGAACACTAAATCTAGACTTTACCTATCCCTCCAATCTCATTTGTTGCCACTTTGTCCTTCCTGTACTATGGCATACTAGTCTTTCATTTTCCTTCACAGTATCTGTATGCCCAACCATCTGCTTCTCTTACAGACAGAGTCTCCTTACCCTTCTAACTATACCTTCATGTCATGAAGGTTCACTAGCCCTTCAAATCATTCTGATCATAATTTTCTCAAGTAGGTAGGCTTTTCCAGACATCACAAACCCAATCAGATGCTGACCCTATATGCTTTCAAAGTACTCTGTCCATTTCCTTCAGAGCTCTTTAGTTTACTCTTATCTATCTCCCTCATCCCCACACCCCTGACTGCAACCCTCCATGTTATTCTTCACTGTACATCCCAGCAACTGGCATACAGTAAATACTTGTTGAGTGAACTCATAATTCAAAATTTGGAAGAATTAATAGTCACTTTGAGTTCTAGGGCAAGTTAGGGATAATTAGACAGCTTCAAGGGCAGTGCAGGGACTTCAGGAGAGTTAAGGAAGGAAGGGTCCAGAGACAAGTGCAACAAATTCCAAAGGGGACTAATCAAACATCCCAGGACTAGGGGCAACAGAACATTCCTAGACAAGGAAGATAAAGAAAAAAGATAAGTCTGGGACACAGAGACTTAGTTCTGGGCACAGAACTTTAGGCAGTGAGTGAGACCACCAAGAACTAACCAATCACAAAGAGACAGGTGGAGCTTTAGAATGATTAGGGTAAGAAAGTGTATATTCCCTGAGGGACAACTCCACATCTGCCTCCTCACGCATCCCTGGCCTGGTTCCATGGGCCTGGGAGTACTACTTTATTTTTGTTTCTTTTCTCAATAAGCTTTTTTCTTTCTCTAAACAAATCTGCCTCTTTTCTTCGCTTGCTTGTCTAAGCATCTGCGAAGTTCCAGCTGCCGCTTCGTGAGACACCAACCCATGGTGGTCTAGTGGCTGGGACTCAGTGCTGCCACTGCAGCCTGGGATCCATTCCTGGCTGGGAGACCAGGCCCAAAAAGCTGAAATTACACTATCAACTTAGAAGTTTTTCAGCACACCAAATTACCACCTTTAGTGACACACATTATTACAGAAATGATTATACAAATTTTAATTTACTGACATTAACATATCCTTTACAGACTATCAGGAAAGAAGGGAACATAAAACTAGGACAAGATGCAGTTTCCCTCCAAAATTGAAAGGAAAATGCTTTCCTTATTGTGATTCTAGCAAGCAACAAAAAAAGGAAACTCTAAAATTTCAAGAGACTGATATATGGTGGCTCTGCAACAGTTTAAGTTTCTAAAGACTACACAGCATACATCAACATTCACACATGAAATTCTGAACATATATGAAACAAATTAAATGACAGATATGGCAGATCTAATTCATTTCATACATTACCAAACCTTTCTGATCAGGACAGATGCAGAATGAACTAATAAAATCACTTTTTTGCTAACCAAGCTCCTAATACAGGAAACGGGATCTTAGCTGATTATCTGTGATCTCCCTACTTCTCTCTAACCTAATCTATTTTCCTGGCTCATTGTGCTCAAACTACACTGGCCTCCATGTTGTTCCTTTATCAAGTTTGGCCCACTCCTACCTCAGGGCTTTTGTATTTGCTGTTTGGTCTGTTTTTCCCCTAGAAATGCATACATATAAGGTTATCTTCAACTGGTTCAGGTCTTTGATCAAATGTCACCTTTTTATCGATGCATTTCCTCAGTACCTCCATTTAAATGGACAGTGAATGAACACACTCCAGATAAAACTTACCCATCTGTATATGTTTTAAATCGGTCCTGCCAGCTAAGTGTCACAAAGGAAAACATAGTCTATCTTGTTCACTGTAACATGCCAATGCCTAAAACAGGGTAAAGAGTAGGCATTCAACAAGTATTTATTGATTGAAAGCACGATGGTACTGTTCACGTTCTCGTTAAGCAGTCACCATCTTGACTCTTAAAAAGACTCAGCCTGAGGGTTGGAGTTTTTTCTTCCAGGTTACCCAAATCAGCCCAGAAAGCTAACGCAGTAGATCCTAGAAGCTAACGGTTCGACTTTCTTTGATCTTTCCCATCTACATGATCTGTTTCTTAGATTTCTACGGAACCTTAACAAAGCTCTTCAACTATTGTATATCGTAACACAAAATAAAGTCTAAATCGCGCTTTCAACACTTGAATTCTTTCTGCACAGATTCCATCTACTTCAACCCCAATTTCCGGCTCTTCCCCTCTCCTCGCCTTCTCTTATAAACCCAACTTCTTCCTCTAGTCCCGCCAATACCAGTTGTCCATCTCTTCTACATCTCTTATTTTACAACTCAGTTAAGTTTTCCCGTTTGTTTCTCTTTCTCTCCCTCTATCCCCCTCCAACTCCCCTTCGCTCTTTGCCTACATCCCATTTTCCCTCCCACCCACCCACCCACACGCTGGCGCGCGCTTCGGTCTCCCTAGACCTTTCACGGGCCCAGCACTTCATAGCCCCAGATAGAGAGAATGAGGATCGTGAATGATATATACATGAAATGAACGCACAACCAGAGTGCGAAATAGTAAGTAACTCACCTCTGAAGTCAAGATCCCTACCAGTCTGGGTTAGACCTCTACACCCACAGGCTTAAGCCACGCGCAGAGCGAAGCTCCCAGAAACGCAGATGCTACGCTCGCACAGCGCCGCCATCTTGGCCGGCCATCTAGTCTCATGATTGGACGAGTCACTCTCGCGCGATCTGTGGCAGATTCCGAAGAGAGAAGAAGCTGTCGCGAGACTTGGTGTCTGCCGCTCCAGCTTTCAGAAGGAGGGGGTGTGATAGGGCGCGGTGTCGTGTGCTTCAGGGCGCTGCTTTAGAATCAGCTAGGCAATTTGATTTTCATTTTTAAACGTAGCGTTTGTTTTTATTTAGCTTTCTGGGCTCCGCTCGAGATACTAAATAATGCTTTGGGGCCTCCCCTGGTGGCGCAGCAGTTGAGCGCTGGGCTGCGAAGCTGCCTGCAGCCTCTGCAGCGCCAGTTCGATCCCCGGTCGCCGGGCGAGGGTCCCACATGGCGCGCAGACCTCTCCTGCTGCCCGCTGCTCCCCTCAGCAGTGTATTTCATCACGCTGCCTGTTCTGTTCCCTGCTCTGGCTCTGGTGAATTCTCTCACCCTCCCGCACTTCTGACTGTACCCAATGCTTGTATAAATAAATAAATAAATCTGAAAAAAAAAAAAAAAGTGCATACAACTCATAACAAAAGGTGATAAATTTTCACCTGGTACCACTTTCCTAGTACCACTCTCTAAAACATCTTTTTTAAAGGATTGATTTATTTATTTATACAAACACTGGGTACAGTCAGAAGCGTGGGAGGGTGAGAGAATTCACCAGAGCCAGAGCGGGGAGCAGAACAGGCAGAAGGACCGAAGCACACTGCTGAGGGGAGCAGCGGGCGGCAGGAGAGGTCTGCGCGCCATGTGGGACCCTCGCCTGTGGCAGGGCATAGAACCGACACTGCAGAGGCTGCAGGTAGCTTTGCAGCCCAGCACTCAACCGCTGCGCCCCCAGGGGAGACCCTCTAAAACATTTTTTTTTTGGAAGATTCATTTATTTATGCATACAAGAACTGGGGTACAGGTCAGAGGTGCAGAAGGTGAGAGGATTCACCAAAGGCAGAATGGGGACCAGAACAGGCAATACAGTGCTGAGGGGAGCAGTGGGCAAGAAAGGAGGGGTCTGCTGCGCCATGTGGGTCACCTCCCAGGCCAGGGATTGAACTCTTGCTGCAGTAGCTGGGGATAGCTTTATAGTGCTGACACTTAACCCCTTGCACCACCAGGTAGGCCCTAAAAAATTTTTTTTAAGCTTGCCTAGGTTCTAGTAATTATGCAAACACTTACGACAAACTATTGCCATGAGACAAAGAGACAGGGAGTAAAGAATGGAGACTTCAGCTTTATGCAGAACTGAGTGTGCCAGTAGTTAACTTAGAAAAACTATGTGTTGCATTATCTATTGTATAACAAACAACCCCAAAATGTATAACTAAAAACAACAGCCCGTTCATTTTCTCACTATTTTGAAATCTAATCTGGGATTAGCATTGTTATTTTTCTTTCTGTTGGCCTTACTGCTGCTGGTCATAGCATCAGCCGAGGGCTGCTTCATCTGGAATGACTGGGCCTCTCTCTCCCTGTAATCTCATAGTCTCTCCCTCTGCATGTGATCTTTTCATATAATCTCTCCAATAGAATAACCAGACTTCTTCCATGTTGACTCACATCTTCCAGAAGGGCAAAAGTAGAAGCTGTTAGGTCTTTTTAAGAATTAGGCTCAAAACTGGTGCTTTGATAATTCTATTTATTTTATTTATTTATTTTTGAAGATGTATTTATTTATGCATACAAGAATTGGGTGTAAACCAGAAGTGTGGGTGGGGGGGTGAGAGGATTCACCAGAAGGAGTGGGGAGCAGACCAGGCAGATCTACTGAAATTCACTGCTGAAGGGAGCAGTGGGAGAGACTGGAGAGGTCTGCTTTGCCATGTGGGTTAGCTCCCTGACCAGTGGGGGTTGAACTTGTGCTGCAGTGGCTGTCGATAGCTTGATAGTGCTCTCTTTAACCCCTGCGCCACTAGGAATACCCCTCTAGTCAAAATCTGACGGTTCAAATTCAAGAGGAGGGGATTTTTTTTTTTTTAAGATTTATTTATTTATTTATACAAGCACTGGGTACAGTCAGAAGTGCGGGAGGGTGAGAGAATTCACCAGAGCCAGAGCGGGGAACAGAACAGGCAGCGTGATGAAATACACTGCTGAGGGGAGCAGTGGGCGTGGCAGGAGAGGTCCGTGGCGCCATGGGGGACCCTCACCAGTGGCCAGGTATCGAACCGGTGCTGCAGAGGCTGCAGGCAGCTTCTCAGCCCAGCACTCAACCGCTGCGCCACCAGGGGAGGCCCTCAAGGGGAGGGGATTATGCCAGAGCACCCTTCAATACTAGAAAGGATGGCTCACTGGGTACAACAATGTAGCAGAACACCACAGATAGTTTTCTGTATTTTATTAATGATGACATTGGTACCAATTATTAGTAGTAGTACTTGCTTCTGGAAAAGTGCAAGAGAAAATGGCCTTGGAGGTATGCCTGTTAGGATTGAAACTGGATTGTATTTACGTATCTAGTGAATTTCTCCGTTAGCTCCAGAGATCCGACTCCCATATGGGTTGAGTCATAGAGATCCTAGTTCTGCAACCAAAGAACTGGGGCTTGAATCCTGGCCATACCACTTATTAACCTTGTGATTACAGGCAATTTAGATAAACTCTTCAAACCTCAGTTTGCTCAAAATTGCAAAATGGAATAGTAATCTCAGGGTTGTGAGAAATCAGATAATGAATATAAAACATGTAACATAGGGCCTCCCTGGTGGTGCAGTCGGTTGAGCACCACACTGTGAGGCTATCCGTGGCCTCTGCAACACTGGTTCAATCCTGGCCGGCCAGGGAGAAACCCACATGGTGCAGCGGACCTCTCCTGTCTCGGCCGCTGCTACCCTCAGCATATTTCGTCAGTCTGCCTGTTCTGTTCCCCGCTCTGTCTCTGGTGGGTCCTCTTTTTTTTTTTTTAAAGATTTATTTATTTATTTATACAAGCACTGGGTACAGTCAGAAGCGCGGGAGGGTGAGAGAATTCACCAGAGCCAGAGCGGGGAGCAGAGCAGGCAGAAGGACCGAAGTACACTGCTGAGGGGAGCAGCAGGCGGCAGGAGAGGTCTGCGTGCCATGCGGGACCCTCCTCCGGTGGCCGGGGAGCAGCCGGGGATCGAACCAGTGCTGCAGAGGCTGCGGGCAGCTTCGCAACCCAGCGTTCAACCACTGCGCCACCAGGGACGCCCTCTGGTGGGTCCTCTTGTCCTCCCGCACATCTGGTCTGTACTCCGGTTCTTATATAAATAAATGGATCTTAAAAAATAAAACAAAACATGTAGCAGAGTTTCTGAAACACAGTGACATTTTTATTACAGTATTCCTAATAACTTCTCTAGTCAGTTACCATGTAAAAATTATTTCATAAAGATAAAACATATTCACTGTAGAAAATTTGAAAAAATTTAAATAATAACGGAAAGTATGAAAAAGAAAACGAAAATTATCTAAAATCTCTCAGTAACAGTGTAATCCCCATAAAAAGGGGAGATTCCATGTTCTCTGCCCACCTATTGGAGAGTGGAGCTGAGCACTGAGCACATGTTAGAGGAGACTTAGTAAAGAGAAGACCTGGAAAAGGCACATGGAGCAAATAGATGTGTGAAGAAGCCACCCTTGATTCTCAGCCGTGGACTTGTACACAGAGACTTGGGGGACAGGGAAGGAGACACTTAGAAGAGATGTGGGTAAGAGACCCACATGGGAGGGTGATAATGGCAGCCTTTATCTTGCTTTGTATTTTGATTTTGCTCTTTTCCTTCTAGACTTGCCTGGCCCCTTCTAGCCCTTTCCAATGGTTCCCCACCAGAAGATGCCTTAGACTTGTGGCAAGCTTTCCCAGTCTCAGTGACCCTGCTTTGGGCCAACCTTGTTTGGGCATTTACTCATGGTGGGGTGGGATGGGTAATTTCGGGTATTTAATTGGAAACTTTTATTTATTTGTTTGTTTGTTTGTTTGTTTGTTTAAAAATATTTATTTATTTATCCATACAAGCACTGGGACAGTCAGAAGCACGGGAGGGTGAGAGAGAATTCACCAGAGCCAGAGCAGGGAGCAGAACAGACAGACTGACAAAATACACTGCTGAGGGGAGCAGCGGGCACAGCAGTAGAGGTCTGTGCGCCATGTGGGACCCTCGCCAGTGGCCAGGGATGGAACTAGTGCTGCAGAGGCTGCGGGCAGTTTCACAGCCCAGCGCTCAACTGCTGCGCCACCGGGGAGGCCCTTATTTATTTTTTTTTAAAGATTTATTTTTATTTATTTATGCATACAAGAACTGAGGTATAGGCCAGAGGTGCATGAGGGTGGAAAGGATGGTGAGAGGATTCACCAGAGACACAGCGGGAAGCAGAACAGGCAAGATCTACTGAAATATACTTTTGAGGGGAACAGTGGGCTAGACAGGAGAGGTCTGTTTTGCCTTGTGGGTTAGCTCCCTGGCTGGGGATCAAATTCATGCTGCAGTGGCTGGCAATAGCTTGATAGTGCTGAGACTTTAAACCCCTACACCACCACAGAGTCCCCTAATTGGAAACTTTCAACTAAATATATTCTCTTTTTTTCTCTCCTTTGCACACTAATTATATTAAAGTTCTTTTCTATTGAAGGTCTTTCACACTAGCAGTATGTTTTGTCTATGTGGCAGATGGCAGAACCCATTTAGCGTGTTCAGGTTTGGGGGTCCCAGGGTGCCCCTCATTCTGCCTACTAACATCACCACTTAGATCCAATCATCATCAAATGATACTTCTACATTTCTATATATTCACAAGGCCATCATTTTTAAAAACTAGTTTCCCTATGGGTAGACGTAGGTTGGTCTACTCCCAAATTATGGTACAATGATAAATACATCTTAAAAAGTATTTTTGTATAAAATGAAAATTATTTAGAGACGATACAAGATAAATGATACATTCATCATCTGCTTCTTAGGATTTATCTCTCTGATATGCCTTCAAATCCCATGGATTTAATCTAGGAGAATTTCCACACCCCTGCAAGAATTAGTACTA